TTTTTCTTCTTGCTTTTACCGTAATATCCTAAATCCCTGTGGTGCTTTGTTTTGAAATATTAAATTAAGGGGAATCTTTCCTTTTCTCCCTAAAATACAGAAGGATATCATTTTATATTTGTTGGCATAGAGGTCTAAATACAGTGCTGCCCTGAAGGAATCCCCTTTGGTGTGCTTATCCCTAAACAGCATAAACCCAGGCTCACACAAGCTGCTTGCTCTCTGTATCTCCTGCTGGAAATGTAGCTTTAGTTGATTTTCCACTTGACAACTTCTTGCCCTATATTTTAGTGAGAATAGTCAGGATAAGAAATATTACAAGGGCCGGCCCGTGGCTCACTCGGGTGAGTGTGGTGCTGATAACGCCAAGGCCACAGGTTCGGATCCCATACAGGGATGGCCAGTTNTCCCTCCCTCCCTCCCACAAATGAGTACATGCAGTATTTCTCTCTCTGTGCCTGGCTTGTTTCACTTAAACATAATTTTCTCCAAGCTCATCCATGTTGCTGCGAATGGCAGCTTTTCAGTCTTTTTTTTTTATGGCTGAGTAGTATTCCATTGTGTATATGTACCACATTTTCCTTATCTAGTATCCTTCGATGGACACTTAGGTTGGTTCTGTATTTTGGCTGTTGTAAATAGAACTGTGATGAACGGGAGGGCAGGTATCCCTTTGACATGATGATTTCCATTCCTTTGGATATATATCTAGCAGTGGGATAGCTGGATCATGTGAGTTATATCTATAGTTGTTTGAGAAAACTCCATGCTGTTTTCCATATGGCTGTGCTAATTTACAGTCCCACCAGCACTATAAAATGCTTCCCCTTTTTCCATATCCTCCCCAGCATTTGTTGTTCTCTATGTTTTTGATAACAGCAAGTCTGGCTAGGGTGAGATGAAATCTCAGTGTGGTTTTCATTTGCATTTCACCGATGCTGAGTGATGCTGAGCATTTTTTCATGTACCTGTTGGCCATTTGTATGTCTTTCCTTGAGAAATGTCTATTCAGCTCCTTTGCCCATTTTTTAATTGGATTTTTTTTTACTGTTAAGTTGTTTGAGTGTCTTGTATATTCTGGATATTAATACCTTGTCAGATGCATAGTTTGCGAATATTTTCTCCCGCTTTGTAGGTTGTCTTTTCATTCTGTTGATTGTTTCCTTTGCTGCGCAGAAGCTTTTAGTTTGATATAATCCTATTTGCTTGTTTTTTCTTTTGTTGCCTATGTTTTCAAGGTCTTTTATTCATAAAGTCTTATCCCAGCCCTAAATCCTGAAGTGTGCCCCTGGAGTATTCATTTTTGTTTTGCTTTAACAAACAAGCTAACTCCTGGCTATAATCTGCACACGGAAACAGGACAGTTGTCAGTTTTCTTGCTTTTTTTAATTTACTTTTTTAATCGACACATATTGACTGTACATCTTTATGGGGAAAGAATTATATTTCAGTACATGTATACAATGTGTGATGATCAAGACAGGGGAATGTCAGTTTACTTTACCTTTCCCATTTCCCTGGCCCTGGGCCCATCTTGGAATTTTGCCAGTATCATCTACTATGATGGCCTCTGATTCCCTGTCCTTGTGAAGCCTCTTGCTTTTAATCAGCTTTCTCTAGAACATGGGCTGTGACACCCCCTTGGTGGTTTCTTTCAGTCTGAGCACACTGAGTTGAATTTGTAGCACCTTTCCTGTAACACAAACCTGTAACCAAAAGCCATAAGTCTGGAACATGGGGATTTAACTTGTGGGTAATTCTATGTAGTAATTTTTTTTATCCTTCAAGGACTCACGTTGAGTTTAATTCTTTGTATACTGCCTTTCACTTGATATGTGTTTCAACTGTGAGGTAGCCTTGGTGTCCTCCCAGCTGGAAACTGGATTCTGATGCTGGTCTGTTTGCCCTTCATGCAGCTGACTCTGCAGGGTGACCGCACTCCTTCCGCTCATCTCCT